TTGGTACAGTTAGTAAAGTTGTAATATTGGAGGGTAAAAGGCTTGATGGCAAAAGCTGAGCTTTTTTTTTTTCCCCAAATAACCGGAAAAAAAACTGAGTTTAGTTAAAATGAAAGAAAACCAACAAAAATGTGGCAGTACTATAGACCTCCGCCCAATTCCAGAAAAGGGAAGAAATTTAGGGGATCCCAATCCTAATTTTTGTAAGGGCATTTTTATGAAATTCAATCAATATATTAATATAAAATACACTATTTATAATAGGTCATATTATTTATAATTGCTTTTAATAACACTCCATCATATGAAGAGGTAATGAGGTGAGTAAAGTTTTAAATTGTGATTGGCCGATATTACTTCTTTACACACACGTGTATGTATGTGTTTTTTCAAATTCTTTTTAGTATTTTAAGTTTTTTAAATTAAATCATATTTTTATGAATTGTTTTTTGGGTGAAAATATTTTTATGAATTAAATTCAAATTATTTTCACATTTTCGTAAAATGAATACTTCACAATCTACATGATATTTGGCCAATATATTTATTTATTAAACATTAAGTTGGATTAACCATCAATAAACTTGTGAACTAAATAAGCACTGTTTCACTTTGAAGAATACGGAGAGCACTAAGTAGTTCCACAAAAAACCAGTTAAAATTAGAGAAATCAGTAATTCACCTTTGCCGAAAGATAAATTTTAAACATTCATGGGATTAAGCTTTAATGTGGAAATTGAGTTCAGTTGGGAAAAAAAAATAGCAAAAACTACCCCCAAAAGAAAATTGGTCAAAATCAAGAAAAGAAAAACTAGTGATTAAACTAGTTCTAACGGGGTTTTTTTAATATACATTTATTTTAACCATGCATGTATTATCATAAAATGTCATCAGATCTTTCTAAATTATGATCTATGCACATTTATATCTGTCAAGTATCAAAAGAGATAGACTATAGAGCAAATGGTCACCAAAAACATAACTTTATTTTTTTTAACTTCTTTTTATAATTTTATAATTTTGTTTATTTGAAATTTTTGTTTTTATATTTTATAAAAATTCTGACAAGCTGCGATATTTGTAGATCATGAACAGTGTAATTAATTCCATAAGTCCTATGTAATGCATAAGACCCACGCTAATTCCTAAAAATTAGGGGATTAAATTTTAGGGATCAAATTGATAATTGAAAAAAGTGTAAGAGACTAAAGATATTTACTGTAATTAATTTAGATTGTTTTTTTATATGATGAAACTTTTGGTCCCTCAAATTTTTTACAGCTATTGATTTCATCCTTGAAATTGAATCTTCATCAATCAAATCCTCAAAATTTTTTTACTGATCATATTACTCCATACTTTGTTATTTTCTCTTCAAACTGTTAGCACTAAGGGGGTTTGTTTATGAAATTTTAAGAACTTGATTGATTAATATTACTATTTTTCACCTTAAATATAAGAGCTTGTTGAAGATTTAATTTAATTCTAAATATAAAACTTTAATCTACATTGTCTCATATATATATTTATTCTTTTTCCCGAAGCAATTCTTACGGTGATTGCATATATTAAGAAGTTTACACAATGTATATAGTTAATAAGGATATTTTAGAAAAAAAATTTATTTTTTGTAAATAATTAACTTAACTAATTTTGTTAATATTCATAACTTAGTTATCTGATTCTTACATTAAGGACCAAAGGTAGCATATTTTAAAAACCAAATCGCTAACTAAGGTAATTTTAAGGAACTATAAATTACAATATTTTTTATAATAAATGTAAATTATGATTTTTTTTTTTGTACATGTAAATTATAATTCTGACAAACGTCTTGGTGCAGACAAGCGAAGCTTCGCAAATAAGAAAAGGGTTTTATGTAGGCAAAGAAGTACTTTAATCAAATTGGGCAAGAAAGTATCTATTGGTCCAATCTTTATTGGGCCGTTGGCATTTTAAAGAAAGTGGTATTCATAAAATTGGCCTGAAGCTTGAATTATAGAAATTTATTGGGCCAGAATGAAAACTCAAAATTTTAATGTGGGCCCAAATAGTTTTTGCGGCACAATGGTTAAATTATTAGGCCACTTACTTGGCTAAGCTAACATGGAAAATGCTGAAAACAACGTTTCGTAATGCTCCTGGAACTAACTAAGGACTCATTTGGATTAACGGTAAAAAAGTGACTTATTCTTAATTAATTTTTTGAAAACTTAAGATTAGAAAAAGTTAAATTAGGCAATGTGATTTATGTATAAATTTATTTTTATAACTAAACAAGTTTGTAAAAGTAGAAGTTGTTTGGATTATTATTAAAAAAAACAAGTCTAGTGTAAAATTTGTTAACCAAATAATATTATATAATCAATCGAATGATATGCTATGCACAATTTATATATACAAAGAAAAATAATATTAAGTATTAAAATTATTATAAAAAACCGTGTTTAAAATTATTTTTATTTAAAAGAGCATTAAAAATAAATAACTAAAAATTGGTTGGGAATTAGCAAAGAGAAACATAAGGACAGTATAATCATAAGAGTAAAAATATCTTTTGATTTCAAAAAGATGTTTTTGCATAAGTATTTTAAGTGTTTTTGTAATTGTGTTTAAAAAAGCAACTTTTGGCTTATGAGTAAGGTTGGCCAAAAGTTGATCCAAACATGTAAAAAATTAGCTAGGGTGTTTGTATGACGGGACAAGAGCAGGACAACCTTGTTCGGTCCTGTCTTGATAATCGGGATGGGACTTGTTTTTCGTCTTGTGTCCCATTCTGACTGAATAGTGTCTCATGCCGTTTAGGACAAGATTGAGATGTCCCATGTATTTTTATTATTTTTTTGGATTTTTTAAAAAAATTATATAAAGAAAATAGATAAAAATTGCCTAAAATTTTGATAATAATAGAAAACTAACGAGAAAAATGTTTCTTTTTGAAAAATAGAAAATATATAGACTCAAGATACCCAAAAAAAATCATATAACATACAAAAAACTTATAAATTGTAGGCAATATAATTATAAAAGTTGTAACATTATTATATTAATAATAAAGTAAAATAAATTTATAAAATTAAAAAAGATAATATATAGGAATGGAACACCCCATCCGTGTCCCTTCCTATCTCAAGACACTGTCCTATCTCAAAATGATTAGGACCAGGATGAGACACCAAAACAGGACACAAGTGAAGACTCCTAAAATTAGCAATCGTGCTTGATAGGATCAAAAAGAAGCGTAAAAAGATTTATTTTTTGGAACAACTCATAGTATCCTCAAATCACTTAGGACTTGAGATTAGTCTCCATTCAGCCAAGAGTGTTAAGATTATAACTCACCCAAAAAGTGCACTTCCCGAGATTTATTTTGACCATAAATATTAATTTACTTCATTTCTCAGATTTATAACTTTTCGTCCCAAACTATGCCTATTATCTATTGAATGCACATGGTAAAAGTTTTCATTAATGATGGTTCCAATGCAAATAATAATTAAATATAGTATTTTAAAAAAAATCAACAAGTATTTTTTAAAAATAACTAACTTAACTAATTTTTTAATATCAAAAAATTAATTATTCAATTTTTATATTAAAGATCATATGGAGCAGTAAGGTTGAAAGAAAAAAGCCAAGGGCCAGTTTGTTTCTCCTTTTTATTTTTTTATTTCAAATCAATTTTATAAAGTGGTGCTTTAAAACAAGTTTTAGAAACCCAAAAAAAATTGTTTGAACAATTATTTAAAAAAATTACATTTGAAAATAAACATATAGATATCAAGGGTGAGGTTTCAATGAGAACTCAAGCCCTCAACAGGAGGAAAAGCCATTGATGGGAGAAGAAAATGTTTTCCAATTTTTCCAAGCAAAAAAACTATTTTTTTTATTTTTTAGTTTTTAAAAGCATATTTCTGTTTTTGTTAAGGAAAAAAATTAACTAAAAACAAATTACTAAATTTTTTTTTTATTTTCTTGTATAAAATGACAATATATTAAGATAACAAGCAAATTACATGATGTCCACAGTGTGAGGACCTCGTGCATTGGAAAGTATATATAGAGTTGAAAGAACTGTCTGGTCCAAAAGAAACTCATCAAAAGCTTGAGGTCAGGAGAGGCCATAAGGATCATTTGTCTTCATCACGCGTAGCAGTTGAAACTTATTTCAGTTGATACTATGTACTCATCCAGTGTCTAATATAAGATCTTTTTGACTAATTTGATTAAGTTTAAAAAGTTAGATAGGTTAGTTAATTATAAAAAATTTGAAGTGTTTTTCTGAAAACACCATAATCATATTTCTTAATATCTTTCTTCCTTTTTCTATTTGATTATAGTTGGTATCCATAGAAGTAATTTAGAAAAAATTAATAAATATAAGAAATAGATCTTATATTTGGCGTTAAAACTAACTCAATAATTAAGTCTTTTATTAAGGACTAGATGAGTATCATCTGCACACGTGAAGGCCGATCAAGCTGACGATCCAGAGAAGAGGTGACGTGTTCGTCCCAAAAACAAAATATATATTTGTGCACCTCTTTTAATTTCAATTTAATCATCGATGAAGTCAATATAAAACCCCCTGCCTCTACATGTATATATAGGAGGAGCTTGTGATATAATTATGCAGACTAGTAGATATCATTATATATATATATATATATATATATATATATATAGAAGGGGGAGAAAATTAAACATCATAATCAAGACAATGTTGACCCTTTGACTTTCAGACACAATTAATTAGCCTGCTTTTTGAAGAAGGAGGACGTAGAGTTATACTACTACCACTTCCCTACCTTCTCAATAAGCCTCACACATCACTATTATGTTTACTGTTTCATCTCAGAAAACCACAAATCCGATCATCATCATCATCATTGCCATTCTCTGGAAAGTGAAAACATATATATATATATATATCTATATATATATCAGCATATGGCTGCAGATTACTTAATAGTAGTAATTCCCCAGAAAGAGATTCATCATCACTTTCCCTTGTAATTCTTTTTCTCCTCACAGTCCAGAAGCTCCTCCAGCAGCTTATCATCCAGGTACTCGAACTCGAACACTTCATGGCGGCTCCTCGAAGATGAAGAAGAAGAAGAAGAAGGAGCTGCTGATGAAGAAGAAGTTGCTGTGTTAGAAGAACGACCAGCTGTGAGAGGATACTCATTTGGGAAGTTGATAACAGCGAATGAGCCTCTCATGTTATAAGCAGCTCTGTCATATGCCCTGGCTGCTTCCTCCGCCGTGTCGAAAGTCCCCAGCCACACCCTCTGCCCTTGGTTCGTCGAGTCCCGGATCTCCGCCGCGAACTTCCCCCATGGCCGCCTCCTCACTCCCCGGTACCGGACGCCGCCGCCGCCCTCCGTGTCCTTGCCCTTATCCATACTTTCCGCAGGAGTAGTATATACGCTGATTAGCTTGTTGATTTGTCTTTGCTTGCATGCATGGTGTGAGTTTATGTTGCATGTGACATATTTATACGGTTGAAAACGTTAGGAGCCGAGGTTGTCCAAAGAGAATATGCCACGTGTGTGGTGCTGGGGAAATAGTCTGCACGTGGCCATTCAGGAGAAAGTTCTAAAGTTGCACGTCCATTGAATCTGGCTGGTCAATGTGATGGCTTTGCCAAGTTTTGAAACTCTTCTGGGCGCCTTTTGTATTTTACTTCTCTCTTTTAAAAAGGTCTTACTTTCTTTATATACATATATATATATATCTTTTAATTATGATTCTTGAATTCAAATGTGTCATGCAACATATAGATATAAATTAAACGTACCTCACGAAAAGTAAACTGATTAGTTAATTAATTAATTAACAAAATCTTCTCCTCTCACAGTTAAAAGTCGATATATATAAACGCAAATCACGTGAAGATAAAATTCTCTTAATTACATGGCAAAGATGATCGGTATCATCATTTTGATGAAGTCATGAATGATTATTTTACCACCCTTGGGTAATCAAATATTCCTATCTATATATATATTCACATTAATAAAATACTTGATCCCTCTTATCTTTAATATAAAAATTACTACTTAGGAGAGAAAATCAAATAAATTAGTTAGTTATGACAAATGTGACATGATCTCTCCAAAATGTACCTGTGTAACATTAGATAAGTTAATTAGCTGAATAAGTTTGGGAAAAAATATAAACATAGCAAAAAAAAAGGATCATGATCTTATATTTAAAATTAAATGTGACATGATCTCTCTAAAATGTATTAACTCTTACAACAGGAACAGGGAATATAAAGTTTAGGAAAAATAAATAAATATAGTTGAAAAAAGAGACTATGATCTTATATTTAAAATCAAATCTAACAATCAACTAACTCTTATGACAGGGACTGGGGAGTATAAAGTTTTCATCTTTGAGATTTGACAAGTTGGTTAATTAATTAATTATCTTTAATTTTTGGAGCAACTAATAGCACTACAAGCACTAGCTAGCTAGCTATATATATACTTATAGTGATCAGAATTCGATTCCATCTATTATTATAACAAAAGGATACACATACAATTAACCCCATGAGGAATAAAACGAAGTAGAGTATATAATTGTACAAGAATAGATCAATGAATATGTGAAAGTTCAAAAACATCAGCATTTAAGGAAACATAAAAGAGAAAATGTATGTGTGGTTGGCGATGGGTAAATACCCTGAATCCTTCGTGAGTGGACATGATTCTCCATAACTATATATATATATATATATGATTGAGGAATCAGAATATATATAACGTTATTAATAATTAACCTGACATTATGTGATATGTCTCGATCAGAAACAACAAATAATAAATAATTAATGAGTAGTTAGAGTCAAATATACAGGGCTAAACCTAAGGTGATTTATATATTATGGTTACTGTATATGGCATCTAGTTATATATTAAACAAATTTCTAGTTTATTGGTATAATTTTGGATTGCTTAAGCATTCATGTATCGTCCTTAGTACGTACCAAAATTCGCAAGCCATGGGGGATTTTGTTCGACGAATGAGAATTTATCCACTACACAACATTATAAGATGATAAAGCAACTTGATTATTAATGTAATTTAATTTTTCACTTTGTCCCAGAAGAAGAAATGAAAAGTTCAAGGAGAATAGATTTACATTACAGAGATAATAAATAGTGGCGGAAAGGAATAGGGAATAGGACGTTGGTGAGTAGATTTGTTTCCCATGGAAGTTTGGATTTTGAACACTACTTTATTTATTTACTTGCATTAAACTATCTCTGATTATTAATATAAGAGCTAATTGACTAATTTAAATATATTAAAAAAGTTTGTCAATTTATTTATTTGAAATAAATAGATATTGTTTTCTTTAAAATATCCTTACTAATCATGTGTATTAACTTAAAGTACCATTTGATGGAATCTTTAATGTGTACAATTACTACAAGGACTATTTTGAAAAAAAAAAGATAAATATGAGAGACAAAATATATTGGAGTCTTATATTTAAAATTAAAATAAAAGTCAAATGAGCTTTTATATTAAAGGTCGGAAATAGTATATTACCTCTATTTTTATTAATTTTTTTCTAAGATAATTCTTATAATAATAATAATTCTAGTCAATATACTTAATTAGCAAGGATATTTTAGAAAAGACAACATTTATTTAATTATTACAAATAACTAATTTAATTAATTTCTTTACTCCACTCAAATTAATCAACTAATTTTTATATTAAAGATCGAAGATAGTATATGGGTTCAGATATAAAACTATCCATGAAAATATTTCTCCACACGCAATCCGCATCATGAAGTCTACATAAATATAATAATACATATGAACTTTCTCATATGGTGCAAAAGTATCATCTCTGTTAAATGTAACTAACATTTTTTACTTTAGTAAAAGTGCTAGCAAATGAGCCCCATCATACTAAAATAATGGACATTAACCACCCTTAACCGACACTCTTAATTTTGTTTGAAAAAGTGCGTATGTACTAATGCATCTAAGTTAATTTTATGATGCGGAGCTGTGAACTAGGCATGTAGGGGGAATATTTTAAGGGTACTTTACAGTTTGAGGCTATATATATTTGAATCTTTTTTTTTTTAAGGAAAAAATAATATATAAAAAAAGTAAAACATTTTTATTTGAAAAAAATTATGCATGTGAGAAATCAAAGATGGCGAGCTTGGATGAGAGCATATACAAAGCAAGCAATCCTAAGGTTTGGCCTATTTAATTAATACACGCAGCACATTGAAAGCACACCAATCAAATGGCTAGCTGAACTATTGGGGCCCCCCGGGGGGGGGGGAAGGAGAACCAACGATAGCCATTCTGTTATTTTGTGACTGTAAATTAACTTTGTCTTAAAATTTAATAATTTTTTAACTATACTTCTATTATCATATATAATTTCAAAAACAAAATTTGCATAATAATAAACAAAAAAAGTACGTTAGTGTTTAAAATTTTATTAAGGTGACTTATACACATGATGGAAAAAAAAATTTTTTTATCTGTCTTGTATAAATAGGATTAGAGGAGTATATATGCAGTTTAAATCTTGATACAAGGCTTTTTAGGAGGATAAATGTAGAAGAATTTAGAGGGTTTGTTTCGCACCATAAAATGTCTTTCAAAGGTCTTTATTTATTGCGTTCATCACAATATTATTTTTTTTGCCAACGACATCACAATATTATATATACATACACACACATATGATTCTTTCATAAATATTCTAGAGGAGTGTTATATTGATATTAACTGTTTTTTTATAAATATCTCTAATACCTAATTAATCAGTCCATGTTTATGTGGAGTAATATACTCTCTCTTTTGTTTTGGGATTGAATTAAGAGAAAATTGCAATAAGGTCCCAACTAAGAGAATTAAATACAAATTTTTTTTAAATTATCAAATTATTTTGAAGTTGCAAAAGACTTTATTGCAAGATATTTTATTTATTTAATTATCAAATTGCCCTTGTTATTTTTTTAAAGTATGCATTAACAATTAAAAAAAACAATCGTTAACAACTTAAAGTATAACAATTAACAACTATCGTAGCAGATATTAACAACACATTTTCTCAGTGCATCACAAAAACATAATGCATGAATTGTCAATATCTGTTATGATAGTTGTTAATAATTACACTTTAAGTTGTTAACAACTGCACTTTCAATTGTCAATACATACTTTAAAAAAAGATAAGAGTAATTTGGTAATTAAACAAATAGAATCTCTTGCAACAAGGTTCCTTAGAATTTTATATTAATTTGATAATTTCAAGATATTTTTTTGTATTTAATTTTCTTATGTAAGACTTTATTGTAATTTTTCCTTAAATTAAAGAACATCATATCAGTTTCTTCCTTCCCCCGTCAGAGCCGTAAATATGATCTTGATTAAAATAAAATAAAAAGTTATTGAGTTCTAGAAGAAAATGATACAGGAACAAAAATAATATTCTTAAAAAAAGGAACAAATAATAATAGTAGTAGTAATAGTAATAGCAATAATAATAATAATAATATAGAGTAGAGTTAAGTATGAAAGCCGATGGCAGAGAATAAAAGATAAAGGTTGGCAAAAAAAAATGACAAAGACGTAAATGTCTTACTCTAACAAACGTGACCTCTAACACTTATATTTTCATAAATTGAGAAAAGTGACATGAATGAATTTAATTTTATATAAGATCCATGTCGTGATTTTTCACGCTTATAATCTCTCTTCTTTCTCTTTTTAAATCTTCTATGTATATATTTTGTTTTATATAGAGAATTTCACTACTGCAAAATATACTCATAACCTCGATATTTAACGTCGGTTTTTAGAGAAAGTGATGAAAAAAATAGTATCATTTCTTGTAATATTTTGAAACTTTTTAACGTCGATTATTTATAAAACTGAAGAAGTTCTGAAATAATTCACATTGGTAAAAAAAAAAAAAAAAGCTGACGAACGACATCGCTTAGTATTTAAACAGGAGGGAGTTGATAACATTTAATTGCGCTTCTTCGATTTTGAATTCAACACAGTTATAATTTAATTTTCATGTAGTTTTATATGTTGAATTGGATTTTTGGAATGGTTTATATATATATATATATATATATAATTAAACATCCAGTGTCAAAATCAAAATCTATACCCATACATGATACTCTCTGAGTCTCTGATCACTTTATTATTTTAAAGCATTTTTAATTAACTACATAATTCATATACCCATCAAGGTGAATCATTAGTTAAGTTGATATCTAATTTTTCTTTTTCTAATTCACCTTTCTTAACCGCAGTTGATCCTCTCAATCTCCAATCTCAACTATTAATTAATTATTTGCAAATCGTTTTGAATTTTGATAAAGCCACATGCGGATTT